ATGAACTCTTAATTGTAAACCATCTTGTCTAGTCATTAATTCAGTCTTATCATCAAGGCTAAGCAACTCATTATCTCCAGCCAGCTGGGCCTCATCAGTCTGGGAACCAAAAGGATCCACCTGAACTTGTGGAGTTGTTTCACTATCTTTATCTAAAGGCACATTCCGTTCCCTGGGGAACAGGCTTGCTGTTTCTCCTTCAGAAGCCACACTATCAGCCCCGTCTGTAACATGTACAGAAATCTGTAACCCATCAGCCTCCTCGTCATCCTGCAAAAAGACAGGCTCAGAAGACCCAGCAGGCCCAGAAAGTTCAGACTCAGATTCAGGCTCAGACTGAGTCACAACACTCAAGAGTGGACAGGCTGGTGGAGTCTCTTGAGACCAGGGAGAGCTGGAATAGGGGCAGAGTTTGGGGCACAGTTCAGTTAGAATTTAATGGGGTAGGGGACACTTCCTTATTTTGGGTCGATGGATCGAACACAGGCTGCCTCTGGGAATTGACTGAGGGTTTCTAAACTTTGGGTCTAATTTTGAATCCCTCTATCAAAGGGCGGGGGGCTAAGTCTTGGAACACCTTATTTACTTGAATTCCCCAACCCAGAAGGGTTGATCTATGGGTGAGAATGTCCCTGGAGATGTTGGTATCACCAAAGGTGAGTAGCAACCATAAGTTGTTTGTGCTGTAGTCTTTACTCAACCATAAGATTGATTCAATGTTTATATCCATGGCATGTTTCCTAAGGAGCTGCCCTAGGGATCTTTTGACCAAGTGATGGGTGGCTCATCTACCCCTATTCCAATAGGTGTCAGAGACATCAAGGACCACTTTCTTGGATTGAAGGGTTCTGTGGTATATCTGACTTTTATGTTGGCTACACAGCTCATAACTCTTCCAGTCCAAGGGCTTAATGGTGCAATTCAGGTTATAAAGAAAGGCCTTACAATCTTGAATTACCTCTTCACTTTGGGACTTTCCCTCTTCCTCTTCCCTTAGATTGTTATCATCTAATCCCTCCCTTCCCACGCCAATTTGGTGTGAAACCTCCCCCTCCCCCTCCAAAATCCCATCCCCGATCAGTTGGAATGAGTTGAACATATCCCCTTCTTTATGATCGTAATGTTTTCTCACTGGGTCGGCCATCATCAAGGATATGCCTGCAATGACATGATCTAATTTCTTATTTAGAGTCTCTAGATGCTGGAAAACGAGGCACATCGTCTCACCTAACAAGTTGCAGATGTTGGAAAATTCAGGCTTTGGGTGGGTCAGTAGATTATCCATAGTTGACAGCCAAATTATTGCACAATTCCCAGAATCTCTGATAAGTTATTCAGTCTTCCAAGTCTTACTTATAGTAGAAACTAAACATTTTGTAAGGTGCAAGAACAGACCTAAAGTTTCATTTAGTAAGTACAGTTGTAAGTAATAATAAAGTGCTATCAGGGACAAAATCAGAAGTTATTAATCATGGGGAGCCAGGGGGACTAGAGTCTAGTTCAGTCCTCATAATGCATGGTTTACAAGCCTCTTAACAATTTGGTTGCCCTCTTCTGACAAACATTTTCTGTAAAATTTCTATAGCTGTCCAGTTTCCTTAGAATAAACATACTAGACAAATTCTGTATTTTCTATATAGAAATGTTTGAAATAAATAAATCGTTTATCTTGTACATGAAGAATAACATTAATATTTTTGAACAGAGAAAGGATCAACAAAATAAAAATATAGCAGGAAAAGAAACAAAGGTATTAAAGTATGGATGTGTTTACAATAATAAAATAAATTATGTAAGATAAGAATCAAAGATAGGAGAAGCCCACACGTATTAATGAGACTGGAATAAATAATTGAAGTAATTAAATATAAAACAAAACGATATATTAAAATATATTTATGATATTAAAATTTACATATTTATATGAAAGCTTTGGAAGCAAAATACATTTTTCTTCTGCTATTACCTCACTAATAAGCTTGATTGAGTCAACACGTATCCATATCTGTTCATCTATCTATCTAGATTACAGAAGATAGAACAATCCATCCCTGACATCAAAACAATGTTCCCGGAGGTGTGTGTGTGTGGGGGGGGGGGATCTCAAAAGGACAATGGTGGGGTTCCAGTTCTTTCTGGACTAGTACATCCATAATAATACAATAATATAAACGTTATTTTTGTACCCCGCCTCCATCTCCCCAAATGGACTCAGAGCGGTTTACATGGAGCCAAGCCAGATTAACACAGTAAAAAATGTAACACATTAAAATGCATAACAACAGTATAAAACAAAACAAAATAACAACATTATAACAATATATAAAACGGGTCAAAACCAACAACTAATAACAAATTCAAGTTATCATCAGGGTGGGCAGACTGGTACAACAATAATGTAAAGAATAGGCTAATGAGTAAAGTGCATAAGTCATATAGCAGCAGTAAGGATAAGAGCAATAGTAAAATGTGAAGATAATATTTTGGGTCTTAGCTGGTTATGCTAGGAATGATAGCACACAAAACACCTGGAGTGCCTGTATTGGTATTACTGTATATGATTGATTTCCCATGGTCCAGAAAATATGGATGTGGGAGTGTCTGTGCATTTGCTCAAATTTATCAGTCTTGCACTGAACAATTCCAAAAAATGAAGGAAACGCTGATCAGCATTCCGTGGACACAGATACTAAAAGACAAGGGAGTTACGGATGGATAGGAATTTCTCAAGAGTGAAATACTCAAGGCGCAATTGCAAACCGTGCCAACAAAGAGAAAAAATAGGACAAGTGCAAAGAAGCCAGAATGGATGTCCAAAGAACTTCTAACTGTGCTAAGACACAAAAGAGACATGCACAAGAAGTGGAAAAAGGGAGAAATCACCAAAGAAGAATTCAAACAAATAGCCAACACCTGTAGGGAAAAGGTCCGCAAGGCTAAAGCAAAAAACGAGCTCAGACTTGCCAGGGACATTAAAAACAATAAAAAGGGCTTCTATTCTTATGTCAGTAGAAAAAGGAAAAACAAGGAGCCGATAGGACCTCTTCGAGGAGAAGATGGGGCAATGCTGACAGGGGATAGGGAAAAGGCAGAACTACTTAATGCCTTCTTTGCCTCGGTCTTCTCACAAAAAGAAAGTCATCTTCAACCTCAGCAAGATGGAGTGGATGAGGGATTGGAGGACATCCAACCCCAAATTGGGAAAGAAGTTATCCAGGAATACCTGGCCGCTCTTAATGAGTTCAAGTCCCCAGGGCCAGATCAACTACACCCCAGAGTATTGAAGGAACTAGCGGAAGTCATTTCGGAACCATTGGCAACCATCTTTGAGAGTTCTTGGAGAACGGGAGAAGTTCCAGCAGATTGGAGGAGGGCCAATGTGGTCCCAATCTTCAAGAAGGGAAAAAAGGATGACCCAAACAACTACCGTCCGGTCAGCCTCACGTCGGTACCGGGCAAGATTCTGGAAAAGATTGTTAAGGAAGCGGTCTGCAAACACTTAGAAACAAATGCAGTCATCGCTAATAGTCAACATGGATTTATCAAAAACAAGTCATGCCAGACTAATCTGATCTCTTTCTTCGATAGAACTACAAGCTGGGTAGATGCGGGGAATGCCGTGGATGTAGCGTACCTGGATTTCAGTAAGGCCTTCGACAAGGTCCCCCATGACCTTCTGGCAAGGAAACTAGTCCAATGTGGGCTAGGCAAAACTACGGTGAGGTGGATCTGTAAGTGGTTAAGTGGACGAACACAGAGAGTGCTCACTAATGCTTCCTCTTCATCTTGGAAAGAAGTGACAAGTGGAGTGCCGCAGGGTTCCGTCCTGGGCCCGGTCCTGTTCAACATCTTTATTAATGACTTAGATGAAGGGCTAGAAGGCATGATCATCAAGTTTGCAGACGACACCAAATTGGGAGGGATAGCAATAGTCCAGAGGACAGGAGCAGAATTCAAAACGATCTTGACAGATTAGAGAGATGGGCCAAAACTAACAAAATGAAGTTCAACAGTGACAAATGCAAGATACTCCACTTTGGCAGAAAAAATGAAATGCAAAGATACAGAATGGGTGACGCCTGGCTCGAGAGCAGTACGTGTGGAAAAGATCTTGGAGTCCTCGTGGACAACAAGTTAAACATGAGCCAACAATGTGATGTGGCGGCAAAAAAAGCCAATGGGATTTTGGCCTGCATCAATAGGAGCATAGTGTCTAGATCTAAGGGAAGTAATGCTACCCCTCTATTCTGCTTTGGTTAGACCACACCTGGAATATTGTGTCCAATTCTGGGCACCACAATTCAAGAGAGATATTGACAAGCTGGAATGTGTCCAGAGGAGGGCGACTAAAATGATCAAGGGTCTGGAGAACGGCTTAAGGAACTGGGCATGTTTAGCCGGAAGAAGAGAAGGCTGAGAGGAGATATGATAGCCATGTATAAATATGTGAGAGGAAGCCACAGGGAGGAGGGAGCAAGCTTGTTTTCTGCTTCCTTGGAGACTAGGACGCGGAACAATGGCTTCAAACTACAAGAGAGGAGATTCCATCTGAACATTAGGAAGAACTTCCTGACTGTGAGAGCCGTTCAGCAGTGGAACTCTCTGCCCCGGAGTGTGGTGGAGGCTCCTTCTTTGGAAGCTTGTAAGCAGAGGCTGGATGGCCATTTGTCAGGGGTGATTTGAATGCAATATTCCTGCTTCTTGGCAGGGGGTTGGACTGGATGGCCCATGAGGTCTCTTCCAACTCTTTGATTCTATGATTCTATGAATTCAAGACCAAAATGTTGACAATTAAAATGAAATCATGTCCATTACACTAGTACAGTGATTCTCCATGTACATCTTGCTCTATTTTAGTAAAAACATTTAGCCCAGATTTTGGTTTATAATTGCATGCACAGATTTTATATGTTTTTTTCCCCAGCAGATTTGGCAAATATGCAGAGATAAAACATCAAGTGAGACACAGATAAATCAATTGTGTGCTAGTTGGAACATACCTGAGATGTTGATACTGCTAACTTCATTCAACAAATTTACATGAAGTAAATGTTAAAATCAGATAATGTAGTCCCATTCTGGAGAAAAAAATGCATTAATTATGTTTTGTTTATGCCATGAAATTCAATCAGATACCATAGTTGCCTATCCAAAAATTGAGGTAGTAATTTTGATTCAAGTTTTTCTGCAGACAATGCAAGAAAATGCCAAATTTAAACATTTTTCTTATGACTGTAATGAAAGGAGATGTAAATGTATTATAAAAATATATTCTTAATTATCCATAGCGCTGAAATCTTCTGTTTGTGGCTGCTTAGCGATTAATCTCTTTTATTACCTTCCTTAATGGAGGATCTCTTAATGTACTGACTATAACCTTTTATTAACTTCAGCAGGATTTTTTTGCAAGATATATTAATGAAAGAATACCTGCAAACGGAAAAGGTAAGGTTACTAGCTTGCTATCTTCTTCTTTTACCTAGGTACATTATACATTTGACTATGTAAACACACTTTTCTCAAGGAACCTATTTTGAAACCCCCAGCTTGTTCAAATAAGGCTTTCAAAAAAGGTTATTACACCTACTAGCTCCCACCTTCCAGAAAAACAAACTCTTGGTGAAAAAATTGCACATTACCTGGAAATACTTTTTTCAGCATGCAATGGGAGAAGAAATCAGTGCCACACAGCAGGGAAATGCTATTCTGAGAGATCCCACTGCTTTCCACATAGATCTCTACTGCTATCAGACTTAATGCCCTGAAAGATTTTTATACCTTTTGTAATAGATACTACACAACAGGCCCAATATTCCTGAACAGTAAAACCATTTTCCAACACGTTTTCATTTTCCTTTTAGGAAGATGTTACTTAAAATAGAAAGTAAACTATTGTGTTTTTATTCATTAAAAATGACACATTGTCTTTAATATAAGATACCTATGAAGCTAATAGATTGAACCTCTAAGTATTAACTTAAAAGTAAGCTTCCATAGCCTATTCTCAGATGAAACCAGTTTTTATTTTTTACAAAAGTAACACATATGCATGAAAAACAGTTCCAAAACCAATCCACTATTGTGTGTGTGTTCAGGTCATTTCTGACTAATGGCAACCTTAAGGTGGTTTCTTGGCAAGATTTGTTCAGAGAGTAATTGCTCTTGCCTTCTTTTGAGGCTGAGGGTGTGACTTGCCCAAAGTCACCCAGTGGGTTTCCATGGCCAAATTGATATTTAAAACCCTGTCTTCAGAGTCATAGTCCAACACTCAGGGCACTTCTACACGGCCCTAAAACCCGCATCGAAGCAGATTTAAATAACCCGCTTTGGCACGGGCTTTTGTCCCCACTCACCCACCCAAACCCTGGACATTCCAAGAAAGGGGGGGGGGTTCCATGCCATTCAAATTGAAATGGGATGGCATGAAGCGACCCTGAAGCCTCCCATCTATCCCCTAACACTTATTTTAAAGGCCCTTGGCCACGATAAATCCTCATTCACTCCTGGCATAAAAAAATGATGCCTGAGGAAATGGGAAGGGTGATAAGAAAAATCCCACCTTGCCTCCGTCTCCTTGTGCATAATTTTCCCATGCCAGTAGGATGCAAGAAGAGGAGTTATGGAAGCCAGGGAACATTTAAAGTAAGTTTTAGGGTGAAATGAGGGACTGGGGGGGGGGGGGGGGCCAGGAGCTCAAAAGGTGTGGGAGGGCAGTGGAGACAGGTCCTCGGGGTCGTGGAATGTGACCCAGGAAATCAGTCCCCCCAGGCCACCAATACCTTATTAGACCTGGGCCTTTCAGGAAGGCCCAGATCTAATAAGGTATTTAATTAATTCGGAACAAACAAAGGAAACCAAGGAAGACAAGGAAACCTTTGTTTGTTCTGAATTAATTTGATTTTACCAGAGGTATCATTTGGATGCCTCCAATAAAAGCTGAGACAGGTCCCAGTGGGCCCACAGACCACTACATCATGATGGCTCCTACCAACTTATTACAAAAACAGGACAAGTATATTTTTAGCTACAATGCGAAAAGCTTGCTGGTTTTCTTAGGAACTACTCATCCTGAGCTTGTGTCATGCACTGTCTAGAAGGCACTGAAAATAATCAGACAGGAGACATTTCTCCAATGATTTTAGCCTGAAAGGTTTTACGAGGTGTGCGTTTTACCACCACACTTGTAAACTAAAGACAAAAGAAGTCATTAACTGAAATACTTTTTTTTCTTTTTGTAGTGTGATTACTTAATTTGATTTATATCCCACCAGGTTTCCAAAACTGACATCAAAGCATGTCACAGGAAAATTGAAACCAAACCCAACAAGTACTAATAAAAACATCCCATGTTAAATCATAATTAAAGAAACCATAATACTGATATACTGTTGAATTAAAATTAAGGATAAACTGCATTGAAATAAAGGACCACGTCCACCTGTTAAAAGTCCTTTTCTCAGCAGTCAACCAGTTACCTACATGTATTAGTACTAGTTACTGAGGCCCCTTCTACACCGCCATATAAAATCCATCTTATCTGCTTTGAACTGGATTATATGGCAGTATAGACTCATATAATTCAGTTCAAAGCAGATAATGTGGATTATCTGCTTTGATAATCTGAATTATATGGCAGTGTAGAAGAGGCCTGAAAGTTGGTCTAAGAATAGTTCAAGTGAAAAATCTCAATTCAGAGCAAAATGACAAAGTATAACTCACCTTTGGTAGGCACAGACCAGAAATACATCTCCTTAGTATGAGCAACAGCAGTGTAGAAAACCAAAAGTACCTGTGACACCTGATTTTCTAGATAGCTGTACCCATGAAGATTTCACCCTACCAAAGTCAGCATTGTTACTTGTTTGGTAGGTTACAGGTGAATTTATTGAAGTTTTTATAAACTTATGAAAAATGCAGGAGGGAACTTCAGGTAAACATTTGTAGACATGCAGGAGCAATAATAACCTTTATGCAATTGTCTGGATTTATTTATGATATAGCAAAGGAGACTCAAGGTGTGGGTTTGTTGGTGAATATTCAGACACATTTTGAACCACTTGCAGGCATGAGAGCCACACAGATTGGGGCCCCTTCTACATCGCAATATAATCCAGATTATCAAACCAAAATAATCCACATTATCTGCTTTGATCTGGATTATAAGAGTCTACACTGCTATATAAGCCAGTTGAAAGCAGATAAGATGGATTTTATATGGCAGTATAGAAGGGTCTTAGCACTACATAATGAGAAGATGCTAGTTTCCGCTGGGAAGACAGAATCATCTCAATCTGCAATGCAAAACCAAACAACAATACACTGCATCATTTGCATTTGGGAGCAGATCCATTATTTCTAAACATGGAACTCATAGAAAGAGTTAGTGAAGTATTGTAGCAGTCTATGAGAAAGAACTATAATGAACTAAGATCAGGAAAAAAACCCTTTTGTTTAATTCTTGCCTAAGCCATTAACTAAGTAGGCAGCCTTAAGTAAGCCACTGTACTCAGTTCCAGCTTTTCCATCTCAATATGGGGGTCATATTTCCTACTTAATGTGAAAAGGATTGTTGTACAGCTGTGAATGCAAGTGAAGCACTTTTAATACTTGAAAGCCTATAATCAAGCTAAGTATTATCATAATGAAGCTCCAACTCTAAATGTGAAGCCAGAAGGAAATTGTTGTATGAAAATCAGAAATGTGGCTGCTATCTTCATGCATTAGAAATTCTTACTATTCCTACTATCCACTCTCTAATTGGGTTGTTGTAGGTTTTTTCGGGCTATATGGCCACTCTCTAATTGTTTTTTTCATTCCCCACCTGAATAAGTAAGATATCCTAACATTATGTCTGCAACTCAGGGAAGAATAACTTCATTCTTTTTGCCACATGACTATAAAATGTTAAAGTCATATTAAAATTACTGGGGTGAGGAGCCATTACATGGTGGTGGAGGATGATTGTTGAGGTCGGGTGCTTTTGCTCTACCTACTTTTTCAGCCTCTGTCATTGGTGTTTAAGAGAGAAGGAAGAAAGTGTGTTTTACAACCATGGACACCCTAACCACAGATTCTCCGCAGGGTAAGGGTTACTACTTTATTTACTTTTGAGACATGAAAACATTTCAGACTTCATTAAAATGTGACCATATGAAGTATGGCAATATAACTGCAAACAATTACTTTTTAAAGTAACATTACAAATTTTGCTCTTTGTCCACCTCTCATCCTTCTGAATGGAAGATGTTCTGGGCTGCGTTAAGACTTTTCAAAGGTGTAATACACTGAATATTTATAGCAGTTTGATACCACTTTAACTGCCATGGTTGGGATCTGCAGCCTGGGGAGGGAGTTTGGCTTCTCCATTAGAAAGCTCTAATTCAGGGGTCCCCAAACTACGGCCCGCGGGCCGTATGCGGCCCACCGTGGGCATTTCTCCGGCCCGCGCAGCCTGCCTGGCCTGGCCACGCCCACCTGTCGCCGCTCCGACAATTTCGGACACCCTCTGCTCTGGCTGTTCTACTCTCTGCGGCCACGCCGGGAGAACAAGCCCCCGCAGAGCCGCTGTGAAAAGGTTTGGGACATTTGTTGTATCAGTGCCAAGTTTGCAGGTGAACTATAAATCCCAGCAAATACAACCCCCAAACGCCACCAGTGTTCACATTTGGACATACCGAGTATCAGTGCCAAGTTTGGTCCAGATCTATCATTGAGTCCACAGTGATTTATGGAGGCAGGTGAACTACAACTCCAAAACCAAAGGACACTGCCCACCAAAACCTTCCAGTATTTTCTATTGATCATGGATCCATCATTGAGTCCACAATGATCTCTGAATGTAGGTGAACTACAACTCCAAAACGAAAGGACACTGCCCACCAAACCCTTCCAGTATTTTCAGTTGGTCATGGGAGAAATGTGTGCCAAGTTTGGTTCAATTCCATCGTTGGTGGGGTTCAAAATGCTCTGTGATTGTAGTTGAACTATAAATCCCAGCAACTACAACTCCCAAATGACAAAATCAATGTTTTGTGTGAAGGACATACATTGGGTTGTTAGGTGTCTTGTATCCAAAATT